GAGGGGGGGGGGGGGGGGTGGGGGGGGGGGGAATGGCCATGCCAAGCGTGCCCTGGGTCTACCTTAGCCCTCTGCCCCGGCCGGTTGGTCAGACGCTGAACTGTGGTGTTTTCCCCACACGCTTCCGGTAAGTTCACAGTCGGAAAGTCCCCTTGTGACGACATCGGAAGGAAACCTTTGGAAAAACCGGGAAAACTGGAAGAGGCAATTTTGGGAATATCACCGGGAATAAGAATGAATGACGTGCACCGACAATAAAAACAGCCAAAGGAGAATAGAAACTTCCAGACTGGGTTTGGTACTGTGATGATAAAAGTCTATGTGATAATTATTTAGAATAACTTTTAAGGTGCTGAAATATTCTTTGTGCTTGTTTTTGCAACTGGAGAGTAGAGCTGATAATCTTTTCAGAAAATAAGAGACAGGATGCAGAAATGAAGGTTGTTTTGTGCAGCTTAGTTTCCGCTTAACCAGGCTTTAGCTACTTCTTTTTGACAGTCAGAATGTGGAGTCAAGGTGGAGGGAAAATAACAATGAGATCTAGGAGACCTTAAGAAGATTGATTACAGCATTTTCTTTCACTGTATGCTTTTGGACAAGGTGTTGATCCTAATTCTGGTTCCTTGTTTGGGTAAAGCAAGGGAATTAAGGTTATTCTGTTTTATTAAATCAGTGTAAAAGGTCTTGGCCTCTTCAATCTGTGTTACAATGTACACTTGGCCTTTAAGAACACCTGAGACCTGGCAGCTACCTGATTTCTCCATGCTGAATGGCTGTTGAGCAAAGTAGCTTGCTGGGAAACTCAAGTTTCATTATTGAAAAGGATTAAGTGTAAATGTATGACATTGTGTACTGGGCAGTCCAGATGGATTGACTGACTCAGCATCAAGCCTTATGTCAAGTATGAGATCATCTCAGATGTATGGCAACTTTGTATCAGGAACCAGGATGTGCACATGTGGGGCAGGTTAACAACTCACCTTTCTGTTCTGTACACAGAGCAAACCCTTCCTGTCTATTACACAATGGCTGGGTTCATGCAACATTGCACATTGTAAACCATGATGAATAATTCACATAACAGCGAAAATCAAACACACATCACAGTTCTGTGTAAAAGTATTTGCCCCTTTCCAATTTTCTGACTTTGTGCATATCTTTGCCACTTAATGTTTTCAGAGCTTTATGTGGGGCCCACTGATATGTAAAGGGAGCCTGATGAACAAGTAACAGCAGAGTTGGTGGAGAAAAGAGGTGGGTGAAAAACATAGTTTTTGATAGTTACTGGCAGCAGAAGATAGGATGGTCTTCTGCTCTCTGGTCTCCTTTGCTGCAGAGCATTGTTACTCAACCTTGGCAGCTTGAAGATGTGTGGACTTCAGCTCCCAGAATACCCCAGCCAGCATGGCTGGCTGGAGAATTCTGGGAGTTGAAGTCCACACATCTTCAAGCTGCCAAGGTTGAGAAACACTGCTGTAGAGTGATCACTCCAGAAACTTCAGCTCCCAGAATACCCCAGCCAGCATGGCTGGCTGGAGAATTCTGGGAGTTGAAGTCCACACATCTTCAAGCTGCCAAGGTTGAGAAACACTGCTGTAGAGTGATCACTCCAGAAACTTCAGCTCCCAGAATACCCCAGCCAGCATGGCTGGCTGGAGAATTCTGGGAGTTGAAGTCCACACATCTTCAAGCTGCCAAGGTTGAGAAACACTGCTGTAGAGTGATCACTCCAGAACATCAGAGAACTGGCAACAAAGAGTGATGCTATTTCTCTTCTCTTTCCACCTCTCTCCCCTTCTGCCGCCATTCATAAGCAGAAAAGGAAGGGGGAAACAGACACAGCATTTTGGAATGAGTGAGCTGATGTCATGTTACTTAGAAGAAGTCTCATGTTGTGAACAGAGAATACCCGCATGAGGCTAATTCTAAAAGTCCTCAAAAAGGTCCTCATTATTAAAAGCATTGATGGTGTAGCTGGATTGCTGAAAAACAACTGAATCCTTTTTTTTTTTTTGCTCATCATAGTGGGAAGCATTTCGCATGAACAATGTCAATGGCATGAGGCTGACAGTGAAGTAGTTGGTTTAGGAAAAAATGACCAGAGCCTCTGGAAGTCAATCTCCCCGCATTAATGCTGTTATTAAGAACAGACAGAACAATTGTTTATGTTGCTATATGAGGACAGAGTTCTTTTCGTTACTTGGGCTTGAAGGAGCACAAGATTTGCTCTTTTCAGGCTAGGTGGGGTATTCAGCACAGAAGCTCATGGAAGGTAGTTTGCTTTCTGTAAGGCTCCTGTGTCAGCATCAAAGGATTTCTTCAGATTGTCAATATTTACAGAAATAGTTGTTATTTGCTATTACAGTTTGAGCAGTTAAAAGACAATATTTCACTAAACAATCTGAAGGATATGTGTGTATGGTTAGGGTGTTATTTATCTTGAAAGCTGGAGCATCGTTAGAGACGTAAGTTCAAATCCTACCTTCAGAATGGGTGGTGCGCTTACCAGAGGCAATATTTTCCTGGATGTTATTGGTCCGTAGGAGTCTGTTGTCCTCATTAGGGAGAGGAGAGTCTGGCATTTCATCTGACTGCTGGGATCACACTTCAAATCTGTTCACAGGATTCCAGGAAATTAAGTCTTCAGTAGAAACCTTAGAGGTGAGGAGCTAATTAATCCTCGTTTTTTTGCAACCTTTGCTGGTTTCAGAGTTCTAGGGCTGGTTCTGCATTTAAAAAAATTTTTTTTTACCTATAGCACTGGGTGCTTTTAATTTGTGAGTCAGAAGTTTTAATTCCTAAAATAAGTAAAGTATTAAGATAAGGTAAAGTGAAGTAAGATAAAAACCAGTATCAAAAGGAGGAAACAGTAACGAAAATGGATAAAAAAAGAGCTTAGTTAAAACAGGTGCTTTAGTCCATCTTGGGTGTGGGGTGTCTTCTGCTGACTGATCCCCTGGAATGAACCCCCAGAGGGATTTGAGAACTGGCACCATTTCCCCCCCTTCTCTCCCCTCCTTCTCCTACCGTTCATGGTAAGAAAAGTGTTGGGTGTAGAGCAAGGGGCAGTGGGTCTTTTTGGTGGCAATTCTCTTGTGCTTTATCTTTAAATTCACTGGAAAAGAGTGTTGCCCTAGAGTGGCAAAGAAGATGGTGTTCATATTTGGTGCTACTTTCGAATATTTCAAGTGCTCAGTCCAAGAAAGAACTTTGTAAGTCCTCTTCATGCCATTTTAGATCTATTTTCTTGTGAAATAAGATTATGTCTTAATCTTGACTATATCAATGTAATTCTTCAGTCTCTTTTTGGTTTTTAAGCTTATTTTTCAAAATAATGGAGGCTAGAGGTTTCAGTTAAAAGGTATAGCATTATATTAGGAAATCCTCATCTCTTTTGAGATGTTAAGTTACAATAATTTTATATTTATGTGTACCTTTTCTTTTGGAGTAAAATTTTACAAATAATTTTTTACATGAAATTAATTTTTTTCTAGTTAAAAAGACTGGCAATGTCTGAAAAAGTTATAGTAATTTGGGAAGTGTAATGATTTTTAGAGATGCAGTTCTCCTGAATAGATAGGTTTAATAAGCACCTAACTAAACCTGACCTTTAATTTTATGAATCGCAAATTATAATTTAGCATACCAATCTGAAAATATATCCTGGAATTAGCATTTCAAGATATTTTATGTCTATAGTGCAAATCGTAAAGCAAGATTTGTCCCTTAGCTCATTCTATATTTGGGGGGCAATTTTGATGAACATAGCCTCAGTCTTTTAAAAATTTATTGTAAATCCTGCTACTTCTTTTTATTTTAGTATTTCCTCTTATTTTAGTATTTCCTCACTAACCAAAAGGAAATCCTTGGTTGGCTTAGATAGTATCAAAGCCATGTCATGTGAAAAGGCGTTTACAAGTGGTCAACCTATGGAGCTATGCGGTCAATATTTAAATTATTCTATAGTTCCAATAGGAAAGGCTCCAGTGACATTATATAGAATAGAGGAGCAAGTGGAAAGGTATATGTTGTTTATTATTTTTATTTATTTTATTGGATTTCTCCACCGCCCATCTCCCCCACAATAGGGGACTCTGGGCACCTTACAAAAAACATTAAAACTATACATACATCTAAAACACATAAAACATCCAAAATTTAAAACAACACTAAAGAAAGGAAGATCCAAGAAGATGGAAAATCAGGCTGTGGAGAGCTGGCCACTACGGGGCTAGCCATCA